TTTCCTTCCCCGTGATAAAATCCTAGTGGATGGCAAGCCCATTACAGAAGAGAAGATCATGCAACTCTTGATGGCCCCAGGTCAGAGCAGTATGCAAGGATAGGATCCTCTGGGAGCTCCCAATCAAGTAAGAAGTAAAACCCCAAGTAATATCCACTCTGCTTGTCTCCTTAAATACTCTGCCCATGACCCACTTGTAGTAGCACACATAAACATATGCAGCCTCAGAAACAAAACTCATGAAATTCAACAACTATTGTCTGACCATAAAGTTCACGTCCTATGCATTACCGAGTCTCACCTGGACTCCACTGTTAGCGATGCTCGCCTTAACATACCTAACTTTAATGTTTTCCGCTGTGATCGCACTATACATGGTGGCGGTGTCTGCATTTATGTTCATTCTCACTTTGCTGGAACCGTAATCCAACGATCTACAGGATCCACTCTAGAGATATTAACTGTCCGTATCCGCCTTGCTACCAAGCCACGTGCAACAGACATTAGTGTGTCCACCTTGTATCGCCCGCCGTCTGCCACAGTGAATTTCTGGGACCAGTTGAGCTCTGAACTTGATTTAGCCCTTCAAACTCCGAATGCATTAATCCTAGGCGACTTCAATACTGATGTCCTCCAGCCAACGACTCCAGGATATCGCCATCTACAGCGTGTCTGTGCGGAGCATCACCTCAGAAATGTTATCACTGAACCCACTCGTTTAGCACGCACTTGCCTAGATCTTGCTCTGGTTTCAGACGGCTCCCCTGTAGTCAAGGCGGAAGTAGTCTCAATGAACGGTGTTAGTGATCACGATCTCATCATTGTCCAATGTGCCTATCAAAACCTTGAGCCCATTCCTGCGCACACTCACAGGCTGATTCGGAAGCCTGCACCCCATTCTATGGACTTTGACCAATGTGGCCAGGAAATCAGTGAAAGTTTCAGAACTTCGGAGTCGCCCACCAGCCTGGACGGTCAAGTGAAGCACTTTTCCAAGTGTTTGAGACATGTTCTGGACAGAAATGCCCCGATCACTCAGCTCAAGGTGTCTGGATTTGGCAGGCCTCGTCGGCAACCATGGGTTACGTCACACTTGAAAAAGCTTCTTCAGCTTCGAATAAACTTGCACAGGAAATTACGAAGGAACCCAACCGACGGCCCCCTCCTCCAGCAGTACCGGGCAGCACGGCGCGAGGGAACCCTCTTGAATAAGAAACTCAAAACAGAATACTGCGTGAAGGCCTTCAACACCCACAAACGCAACCCCAGAGCCCAATGGCAAATCCTGAACAAGCTTGCAGGACGAGAAAAAGTCAAATCACTACCTAAGGCGACTATATCCGACCTGACAGCCACATTTGAAACCGTAGTTTGTGATCCTGCAAGACCGTCTGAACTTGTTCTACCCAGCCCACCAGTCGACATTCCCACTGTCAACGAGTTTACGCCAGTCACAGTAGAGTATGTTGAAGATGTCTTGAAGTCATTGAACAGCCACAAAGCACAAGGTTCCGATGAAATACCACCATGTCTCCTCAAAGGATGCCGCACAGAGATCGCTGGCCCACTCACCGCTATCATCAATAAGTCTCTGCATACAGGCCAAGTTCCAAGTAGTTTTAAGCATGCACACGTGTGCCCACTCTACAAAGCTGGCGACGCAACTATTGGCTCCAACTACCGACCAGTGTCACTTTTGCCAGTGATATCCAAAGTGCTTGAGAAGGTAGTACACCGACAACTTGTAGCATTCTTCGACAATCATCCGGAACTCGGTGCATTACCGGAGGAGCAGTTTGCTTACAGGCGCAATCACAGCTGTGAAGACCTTTTGGCGTATGCAATAAACGACTGGCAGTTGGCCTTGGACAAGAAGCAGCTGTGTGGAGCCATGTTTGTGGACATGAGCAAGGCCTTCGACCGCGTTCAGCATAGCAAGCTCGTGCAGGAACTGGCTTCAGTTGGCGTCGGAGGTGTGGCATTGCGTTGGTTCGCAGACTACCTTACTGGGAGAACCCAGCAGGTCGTTGTCGGCGATGCCCGAGGCAGTACAGAGCCCTGCTCACGTGGTGTACCACAAGGCTCCGTGTTAGGCCCCTTACTTTTCTGCATTTATATCCGGCGTACCCCTCAGAAATTTCAACATTGCCGTGCTCTCCTGTTTGCGGACGACATCGCGTTCTACGTCATCGGTCGCAAGGCTTCAACCGTGCTCAGAATGCTTCAGACAGATCTCTTGAATCTGGAGGACTTTCTCAGCGAGCGGGGACTGGTGCTGAATCCCAAAAAGTCTCAGCCACTGTTGCTCAGACGACCTACTGCGCAACTGGACGTGATCCCCAGCATCACCTGCAAAGGCACCGTAATCCCCGAGTCCAGCCATGTTCTGTACCTTGGCCTCCTATTGGACTCGTCGCTCAGCTTCGAGCAGCAGGTTGAGCGTGTGTGCGCAAAGGCACAGTGCAAGGTTGCCTCATTCCGCCACGGGCGCCGCGATGTCTCCATGACCGGCCGCCGCATGTTTTACCTGACAATTGTCCAGAGTACCTTGGACTATGCCAGCACATGTTATGTTCACTGCTTGTCTGCTAAACTCAGAGACAAACTTGAGTCAACCAGCAATAGGTGCCTAAGGCGAGTGTTTGGCCATGATCAGTATACTTCTATCGATTTCATTCTCACCAAATATAACCTGTATACTTTCTCTCGCCGTGTAAACTTGAAGCTGTTTGTGTTTGTTTTTAGGTGTCTATCTCGTTGCACCAGTCCTCTTTTAAGCACGATATTTACCCCCCGCTCTGCATCATGCCGCACAAATGCTGCTACCCGCGGTCAAGCTTCAGCTGCTCTGAACCTACCCAGAGCTACGTCTCGTTACGGCCTGAATGCTATTTCATTTTTGGCAGCAGACAGATGGAACATGCTTCCACCTGGATGTCGTCAAGCTAAGCCCCTTTCTGCATTTGTCACAAGCACCAAGTCATTCCTAGGGTTCCCAGTAAAAAGGCAACGCCTGTTGGGAGTTCCCTAGTAAAATAATAAATTCTACTACTACTACTACTATATAGAGAATGAAAGAAAGAAAAAGTCAACACTTCAACATAGGTCACGTGTTAAAATGATTAAAGTGTTAAAAAACTCAAAAACAAACAGCTGCAAGTTGTAGACAAACACGTTGAACACATCAGGGAACACTTGTCACACTTTCACGAGGTGTGACACCAAACAACTGCAACGATAACACATTCTCCTTCTGTACACATAGTTCTGGATCTAGTTTACGAATATACAGAGCTTCTAACACAGCAAGATGTAACTTAGACCTTCCACGAGTCAAAATCGAAAAGATATCATCACTATACAACTTACGACAACTAGCACTGCCCGACAAATGACGCTTGATGGACGATGTCCGATCACTTAGCTCTGTCACCTTCGACGCCTGCCGTTGTTCTCTTCCGTTGGGCTTGTATGGTTGGTTGCTCCGGTCCACACCTCCAACGTCCGTTGATTTCATGTCCGTTTTTGTTGATTTCATGGCCGTTTTCGTGTCACTTCTTGGTCTTCCTCGTCATTTGTCGGGCAGTGCTAGTTGTCGTAAGTTGTATAGTGATGATATCTTTTCGATTTTGACTCGTGGAAGGTCTAAGTTACATCTTGCTGTGTTAGAAGCTCTGTATATTCGTAAACTAGATCCAGAACTATGTGTACAGAAGGAGAATGTGTTATCGTTGCAGTTGTTTGGTGTCACACCTCGTGAAAGTGTGACAAGTGTTCCCTGATGTGTTCAACGTGTTTGTCTACAACTTGCAGCTGTTTGTTTTTGAGTTTTTTTAACACTTTAATCATTTTAACACGTGACCTATGTTGAAGTGTTGACTTTTTCTTTCTTTCATTCTCTATATAGTTATGTGTTTTTTCTAATTTCCAACATTCCCTGTACTATCCTGAAGAGAAGGGAAAGAAAACGTTTGATAGAAAAAGTGTCTACTGAATTGTGTGGATTTGCGTCTTTGCATGCGAATACGTATTACGAAACTGTTTTTCCCACCGCCTCCAAACTACTGTTTGAATTATTATTATTATTATTATTATTATTATTATTATTATTATTATTATTTGAAACTCGGATGTTGAGCCATAAATAAATGTAAAATAGAAAAGGACATATGGATACGAGTTTAGAGTAACTCTCCATCACTGTAACATGATACTATATACAGTCAGAAAGTGCAATAACTAGGCACAAAACTGACAGAGTACTGAGACATTCGACGTCCTGACACCTAACTTTAACACATCTCCGTAGCGCTAACCGACAGCCTTCCAACTTGGAAGGTTCAAGGTTATGGAAAAGACCAAAGAGGGGAAGGCAAGCGCAACGAAAACGAGCAAAAGCCACAGTCCCAACGGAACAAAGAATGTCGATTGTTACTGGACGATGACGAGACCAGTACGATATTTGACAAAGCGGTCTAACTACAATTCGAAGCAGCAAAGCAGCACACCACCCAACTTGGGTGGGTCATAAATATCAAAGATAAGTAAAGAAAGGGAAGCTTTGCGAAAACGAATTGTACAAGCCGAAAGCCAAACTCCTACAGTACTCCTCATGCATGACATTGTGATGGACTAGTTGACTACAAAACACGTTGTTTCACACGACGTACGTTTCGCCGTATGGTTCGTGACGGCTCATCAGGTGTGCAATTTGAAACTCGGATGTTGAGCCATAAATAAATGTAAAATAGAAAAGGACATATTCCCCCCTTCCCCTCTTTGGTCTTTTCCATAACCTTGAACCTTCCAAGTTGGAAGGCTGTCGGTTAGCGCTACGGAGATGTGTTAAAGTTAGGTGTCAGGACGTCGAATGTCTCAGTACTCTGTCAGTTTTGTGCCTAGTTATTGCACTTTCTGACTGTATATAGTATCATGTTACAGTGATGGAGAGTTACTCTAAACTCGTATCCATATGTCCTTTTCTATTTTACATTATTATTATTATTATTATTATTTGCTTGTTCGCGTTGACATCACCAAGCAAGCTTGGCT